CTTCCTTGCGGACACAAATGTAAAAGTGTCTTTATCAGCCGGACTGAGACAAGTTGTTTTTCCCTCGACGCTCCGGCAAGGCATCCTTTACCTTGCGGGCATTGCGGTATATCTGACTGTCAACAGGCGCTGAAAAAGAAGGAGCTGGTGTGTAATGAGCCTTGTGAAAGTCTCTGCGAGCGCGGCCATGGCTGCTTGTCCAACTGCGACGAGCGTTGTCTCCCCTGTGGGGAATTTCTTGGTTGTGGCCACAGGTGCTCTAGCATTCCATCACGTGGTCGGGAAAGGACCAATGAAAATATGCCTTGCGAAAAGAGTTGTCTAAAAGTGTGCAGAAAAGGGCATCTATGCCCATTAAAGTGCATTGAGCCGTGTCCAAGAAAATGCAAGAAAGTAAAATGCAGGATCGTTGCTCTGTGGTCAGACAGCCTAGGATTCAAGAAAATCGGCCAGTGGAGCTCGATCAAACATAATTTAAAGTCCAAATCAAAGGGAACTGAAGTAAATTAAAAACACGGAGTTGACATGTGTTAGGACAACGGCTAAAATAATGTTCAACCTGCCCCATTCGTTGCATTTCAATCGATGCTTTTCTGTTTATTTAACATTATTTATTTACATGTAAGATTGTGCAACTGCCTTTATTGCATCGCAAAATATCGTATGTTTCACGTTTCTTCTTTAACAGCTTATCTAAAGAATGTGTGTTCAGCAGCAACTGTTATTATACGTGAAAAACAGGCATTCCCTAGTTGATAGATATGCTAGAAATGCATTTACTAAATGAGTATATTTTTTTTTCAAAATTCTTCAGCCCGTTTTATAACTTCTCAAAGTATACAACTTCGCAAGAATTATTTTTTTGACAAATCACATCCAGTTTGATCTAGAAATAATAAACTATAACGATACACGAGTCAAATTTCGGGGTAACCTTTGAAACCCAAAGCAAACATACAAAAAAAAAACATGTTCAAAGCAAAACTAAATAAACGCCGACATGTAAACACGTAGACAATATTTCTCAATACGCGCGCTTATATTGTTTTATATATATGGTTTTTATAATTCTGCATTTCTTTTACATTTTCCAAGTTGTTTGTGGGTGCTTTTTAAATTGTTTTTTTGTATCTCTCTTAATTACAAACTGCCAATGTGAATAGTTTCACCCTGCCAATCGTTGTAAGTTTATAAAATAAAATTGTTACTCTTGTTTAACAACCTAGTCTTATCTTTTTTATTTATCCGTCTCATAGAGATATCTCTTTATATTGAGAATGTGTTCTAAATACTTGATGTAGGCTAGATGAATGTTTGTCATGAGGGTTCACTGAAGTTTATTCTACAACAACAACAAAATAGGACACTTTTTACTCACCACATACCCCAGATATAGGCGGTGAATGGAAAAGGTGGTTGAACTATTGTTGCGATAAGTTGAGGGCAGCTAGTCACATTAACTACGTCTTTATTTTAAGCTATTCTAAAGCTATTAAAAAAACTATGAAAACCGAGAAGGTTGGAACATTCTATCAAATGTTATATGTGGACCTATAACGGAATTAAAACCTACATACTTCATTCTAAACATTTATATAAATACTATATACGTATACAACTTACACACATTACATTCAGTTAATCTTAAGTTATTTGCACTTTCTGAATTTTTAACACATACACGTATTAAAAAATTCCACGCAAATATATTTGTTAATTTTTTTCCCTGTGCATTTTTTTCCTGCGACTTTTTATTTTTACCCTACAATCAGTATAGGCCCGATATATGTTGGTCCTATAGCATTATTCAGAGTTTGTTCCAGGCATCTCTTCGAAATGGAATTTATATTTACCAGTGTCCGCCCCCCCCCCACGGAAATATCAAGTGCCGCCCCCCCCCCCCCCGGAGAAAAAAGTCGGGAAGAAACACTGTATTCCCCCCCGCCCCCCCCCCCCCCCCATAGTATAGGCGTATATATTAATTAACGTATATTTTTAGTTACATTCGTGACTCCGTACCAACAACTGTTTCCATTTTATGAACAGAACTCAGTAGGTCCTGCTAGTAACCTACTAAGACGGGTGTCATTCTCGCCCCCACCCCACAAACTCCCGCTTTGTAACACTGGTGTTTGTTTTAGAATAATAGGAAATTGTCGTATATTTTCGTTGATTTGCGCGCAGCCGCTGTCGATGTTTCTAATAATAGCTCAGCCTAAATAAATGGTCCTGTGTATGACCAAGTTTCGCTTTCAATACGTAACACTTCCGATTCTACGTTGGGAAAACAAACACGACATTCTAGCAGACACTAGCATCCAACTTGTTTACAACTGGTCTAGAGACAGAGAGTAGATCTAGATCTAGATATAAATTGTTTTCGGGTAAAATAGTCTTAGCCTTCTAGTCTTAGCTTAGGCTTAATTAATAAAAATTATGGCTTAATGATAAGTAGATCTTCTAGATCTAGAGTCTAGACTAGAGTATTCTAGAATCTAGAGAGTCTAGAGTCTAGAGTCTAGACTCAGACTTAAGAGTTAAGACTAGAGTCTAGGACACTCTAGGCGTCTAGGAGAGTCTACTCTAGGTCTAGAGCAGGGGTCTCCAATCTTTTCAGTCCGAGGGCCGCATTAACTATTCTAGATCAAATTTTAGTTCGGGGGCCAGTTAATTCCAAACATGTCTTTGATTTTTCTGGGCAAAGTTCCTCAGCCATCAACCACAAACGTTTTTTCCGTGGAAAAAAAAAATCGCAGCGGGTTGGATGAGAGGACCTTGCGGGTTGGATGAGATCATGAGAGGACCTTGCGGGCCGGGTCCGGCCGCGGGCCGTAGTTTGGAGACCCCTGCTCTAGAGTTACAGTTAGCTAGCTAGGTAGTTAGTAGTTAGCCCAGTAGGTCAGTAGGTAGGACACTTGTTTTACTACACTACAAACTACAATCAATTAGTAACCGGAACAGTACAGTTAACATTAACAGTCAGTAAAAATTATTAACTACAAAAATATACTAATATACATTTATATACTTGATCTACATTCTACAAGCAAGTTACAAGTTACGCATGCGAGATATTAGCGTTCAAGAAAGGGGCCCGGGATCTGTAGACTGTAACGTGTAGCCTATAAGTATATTGAGTTTTTTCTGCAATTATTATTATTTTTTTGTATTTGGACTGATAGGCCTATAAAATCAAATTATGTTTAACAGAAGAAAAAAAAAATAAAGCACAATTTTACATGCGCTCTCAACATTCACTGAGTCAGAAATGTTCATACCATACAGTCCATCAGCCATATATTATAGACCTAACGACTCCCACTCGCCATAACATTTGAAATTTGTCAGGAATGATATCGGTTATTTAAAGCAAGATATTAATTTAATAATTAGAATTACAAGAAAAATAACACAACAACCGAAAATATATATTCTGCATCTTAAAGTAATTATTGTTAAACTAAATCTTAATAATTTTATTGGATGGTCTGAATAGCGGCCAAGGCTATAAGGACCCGGGTTCCAATAGTGGCAGTGGCTATTGGAACCCGGGTCCGAATAGATGCAGCCCACACAAAAACAAAAGCATAATAATGGAAATTTAGACTTATTGCAAATCAGTGTGACTTATGCTGTTGCCTTTCAGACACCAGCTCCCAAAGGTGTGGCTTCACCTTGAATTCAGTGAGTGTTGTGTTCTTACATTTTCCATCTGTATGCAGCTTATGGAATATAGGATTGTTTTTAGTTTTGCTTGTGCTTGACTAGAACTGTCCAACTTGGAGTGACTAATCATCCAGCTAGGATGTTGAGTCCCATCAAGTTCTGTTATACATATGAATCCAGATTGTACATAATCATATGACCACTTCATTTTTTGCTCGACATGGTACGAATGGAACCAAATATTAATTAAGAAATCACACGAAATACCATCAAGACAGTCACAAGTTGACTACTGGGCCATGATAAAGAAATAAAAAGTATATTCATCATCAACACATAGATGTATAAGAACCGTTGACATGATTCATGAATTATGTGGGTAGGGCTATATGTTTCATGATCTCAAGGGTTCCACAATATACAAATATTACAGTACTGATATGTGTGTCATGCTGTCATGCTGTCATATTTGAACTTTTGTCACAGCTGCTAGTTCTGATAACAGTCAGGTATGTGACTTGACCCCCACAGATTCCCAGAGACTGACTCTGCAAACACCTGGGGTTTGATCAAACTCTGGTTAAAAACCACTGATCTAGTGTCTAGATCTATTTATTTTAAAATTGTTAAAACTTTATAAAAATTAGTCTTGGAAGTTGATATACTCAGTTTAATTCTGACGCATACAAACAACAGTACAGTACATCTTTTAAAACACATCAATAACAAATTAACCATTAATTATTAGGCTTAATCATTGACTGACATTAGTAACCATTATAGTAACACTAGGGACTCGTCTAACACTACTCACTAGTAGAATTCTAGATCTAGTACTACTACTGTTAGATTTAACTAGATTTCTGCTAGATTTAGTATAGAATACTAAATAGGTCCTACCAGTTTTATAATAGCCAGATGGAGTCTGGACACCTACTGAGACTTTACTTGGTACAGCAACTTGCTCACAACAAAATAAGCTTCTAAGTATCCTGCCTAATTATACTAATTAAAAATAATAATTAATCTAATAATTAATAATAAAACCATCGTCATCTTGAATCTAGGCCTATTTATTTTTTAAAGATATAGATAAATATTTCATTTTGATTGAAATACAAAATTTTTCCTTGTGGTAAATGCATTTATTTGTGTCTATTGAGTGAGAAATAATTTATATTATAAGGCATCTCATTTCCTTTAGTAAAATTTACTTATAGTTCAATTGTTTGGTTTTTGGTAGTAAGACTGTTTTAAAAAGTTTGCAAACATTATAATTAAGACTTCCCTCTATTCTTATAAAGCTATCCAACTATTTTCTCTTCACCCTGCAGGTTTATTAATAAGATGTCTGACCTAGAGGTTATAAATAATTTTATTGATGGAGAGTTCTGTCCATGCGATGAGTACCTGGACAGTTTTGATCCCTCTACTGGTCTTGTCTGGGCCAAGGTGGCAAACAGTTCTGCCAAGGATGTTGAAAGGGCAGTGGAAGCTGGAGAGAGGGCGTTTCCCATGTGAGTCAATACACTTTGATGTGAGAGCATAGTTTTTAAGAGAAGCACACAATTTTATGTATTGTAAGTAGGCTTGAGTAGGCATAAGGTACCTGATAAAGGTACTGAGCACTCAGTAACAGTTTATGTTGCACAATAAACAGACAAATCTCTTGTTTTATCTACACATACAGACTTTCAGATCTAAAGTGAACATTACTTCATATAAGATAAATAGATAGGGGATGGCGGCTAACCTGGAAGTCTTGACTTTGGTTCTGAGACTAAAAGTCCATAGCAAGCTTTTGAGTCCATCCAGCCTAAATGGGTACCTGAATGACTTGGGGAAAATTAGGCCATAGTACTATGTGCAAACAGTAATTTATTAAGTTTAACCATTATTATAAATACTACTATACACAGATGTTCTTATTTGGCTTCATGTTTTTGTATTATAAATGGGTTTTGTAATTTTTGTTGCATATACACCAAAGGGTGGGAAAAGTTGTAACCTAACTCACCAGTGGTCATGATGAAAGAAATAAAATTCTTTTTTCTTCTACAGGTGGTCATCCACTCCTGTAGAAAAGAGGTCAAAGATCATGCTAAAAATAGCTGACTTGATTGAAGCAAGGCTTGATGAGTTTGCAGAACTGGAGTCACATGACCAGGGCAAACCAGTTTGGCTGGCAAAAAGAATTGACATTCCTCGTTTGGTTCACAATTTCAGATATTTTGCAACATACGCTCTTCATGATTTAAATGTGTATGGATCTTTTATTAATTGTCATGTTTTATTGTACTTAAGTCTCCAGAAGCTAAGTTCATCTCCAGTATTTTTAATAAGGAAATAGATCTGCATACAACTTTAGGATTAAGTCTTTATTTACTTCCATTTACCATACCAAAAAATCTCAAACCTTATTTCCAAACTTGGTGGTCTCCCTTTCAGATCTTCTGTTCAACAAGATTTCAATGCCACAAACTACACAGTAAAATGTCCAGTGGGTGTGGCTGGGTTAATCAGCCCCTGGAATCTCCCTCTTTACCTGCTCAGTTTTAAGATTGCCCCCGCCATCGCATGTGGCAACACAGTGGTGGCTAAGCCCAGCGAGATGACCTCGGTGTCCACACGCCTGATGTGTCAGGTCTTTAAAGAGGCTGGTAAGTTCCTACCTGAAACACTGTTAAAGGGTTATCTTAGTGTACAGTGCTTGTTATAATTTTAGTGTCCCAAATTTGATCTATATTGTTTTTGGTTTTCCTGAAGAATGTGCAAACAATATACGAGCAAACAGGAAAATGTGGAAATACAAAATAATTTTACTAATACACTTTCATTTTGTCAAATTTATGGAAAAATGTTTTATCATGCTGCAATGTAAATGTGGTCATTCTTCATGGTAGTCTATAACTGAACGATTAAAAAAAATTAAATCCCTTGCGCACATTTTATTATTATCCAAAAAAAACATTCATAAAAATTTCTTATAAGTTCTACTGCTTTATAATAGAGAATAAATTTAATAAACTTGTTTATTGAAATTAAACAAAATTAAACATTTGATATTTACTTGTTTATTTGCTTAGGATTTTTCTACACTTTTCTACTGATGTTAATTTATTACTTTTTTTATTGTAATAAGATTAATGTTTAATTTGTTTATTAATAATCCTATGAACTGAAGTAAATTGGAATATGGTATTTATTTACTGGTCTTTAATTTGCTAAGTTTCTTTAAAGTATTTGTATTACTACTATAGTTAGATTATGAGATGTTTTTTTATAATCTATCTTTCAACTGAAGGCAGTAAAACCTAATTCTCCTTTTTATGCTTTATTAAAATTGGTCTTCACAGTAGTAACATGACCTTTGTTTGAAGCTACTATGTAAGTTGTCATCATCTGTGTTGCAGGCCTTCCCAATGGTGTGGTCAACATTGTCTTTGGCTACGGCTGGACAGCTGGCCAGGCATTGGTTGTCCACCCTCGTGTCCAGCTCATCTCATTCACAGGTGGCACCGCCACTGCTGCAGTCATCCGCAAGAGTGCCGCACACCTCAACAAGAAATTTTCTTTAGAGGTAGGTTTATGTTTAGTGGGAGGTTTAAGTTTAAAGATACATTTGAATTCAGGAGTAGATCTGAGCTTAGAGGAAGGTTCAGTTTCAGCAGGTTTCAGTTTTGAGAGGTTTAGTTTAGAGGGAGATTTTGGCTTAGAGCTGGGTTTCAGTTTAGAAGCAAGTTTGAGTTTAGACCAGAGGCAGGTTTGATATTAGAGGTTGTTTAAGGGTAAGTTTGAGTTTAGACCAGAGGCAGGTATGACTTTAGAGGTTGTTTAAGGGTAAGTTTGAGTTTAGACCAGAGGCAGGTATGACTTTAGAGGTTGTTTAAGGGTAGTTTTGATATAAGGGGCAGGTTTGTCTTTAGAGGTTGTTTAAGGGTAAGTTTGAGTTTAGACCAGAGGGAGGTTTGATATTAGAGGTTGTTTAAGGGTAGTTTTGATATAAGGGGCAGGTTTGTCTTTAGAGGTTGTTTAAGGGTAAGTTTGAGTTTAGACCAGAGGCAGGTTTGATATTAGAGGTTGTTTAAGTTTCGGGGTAGGTTTGAGAATGTTTAATTGAATAGACACACCTGTGTTGGATAACGCTGTTGAGCTGCGACCTTACCAGTTGTAAAATTAAATTTTTTATCTCTTTGTTGTAAACTAAATTTAATCTTTTAAATCTCCCCACAGCTTGGAGGAAAAAATGCTGCAATAATATTTGATGACTGTAACTTTGAGAAATGTGTTGAAACAACCATTAGGTAACTACAACATGAAACTTTTTTTAGGCTAAGTGGTTTTTGTGATGGTAAAATATTAACTTAAACGAGCCGACCCGCAGCGTATCATACGCCGCTATTTAGTTGTTTTATTTTCTACTTTTCAGTAATTAATAATTTGTGAATTCGACAGTACCAATGCTACCACTGAAAATATTTGCTTTAAAACACTAACCCCCCCCCCCCCCCCCCCTTTTCCCCTCCTCTTAGTTACCTCCTGTAAGTTTAAAATCAAACTAAATTATCTGCCCCTAATAGATTTGTAAACATTTTGTAAACATTTAGCGTGACCACAGCTCAGCAGACCATGTGGGGTGGGGTGGGGGTGGTAGTGATAGTGATAGAGAGAAAGAGAAAGAGAGGGGACTGCAAGGAGGCGCTTGCAGCTTGTTTTCTAACGGCTCCCAGAAGAGAATTATATATATAGATAAGCTGATTTGGTGCTGGTAGCTTGGCAATAAAGTTAAATGTTTTTCTGGCAACTATTTTAAGGTCCAGTTTTATCAATCAAGGTGAGGTTTGTCTGTGCACAAGCAGGATCTTTGTTCAGAGGGGGATTTATGACAAGTTTATCCAGGCTTTTGTAGCTAAAGCCAGGTCTGTATTTCTTTGTACTAGTGTGACTTATTTTTTTATATACATAAAATCATTTTGAAAATTCCATTTTATGAAAATTTTAAAACTGAACTTTTAAAAATATATTAACAATATTTAGGCCTAAAAATCATTAGTTGTTATTTTTTTTAAGGGCATGGGCGGGTGATGAGTACCAACTTGCTTATTTCCGAGTCTAAAGGTGTAATACTTGGCTAATAGTTATAACTCAAAGAGTTAAGCATAAAAATATTTTTTTTAATTTTTTAAATCTTCCGTTGCCATGGTGACGACGGCCATATTGGATTTTATTGACGATTTTTAAATGGAAATAACTCAAAAATGGTTTGTACAAATTTCATGAACACTTAATATAGTCTGCAGAGACATGTGTTTAAGACTTCTGATAGATTACATTTTCAAAAAAGAAAATAGTTTTTTTTTTACTTTTTTTTTTCAAACATTACTGTAAAAATTTCATTATTTCGTCCAATTTTTTCACTATTTCAACAACAAAATTTTTTTTTTTACAAAAATTCCAAAAGTGTTCTATCAGTTTTATTTGAACATATATAAAGAGTAACTGGAGCAAATTTAGTTCAGTTCTGATAATTATTAACAAAGTTATTTCAACAATTGTACAAAAAAACATCAAACTGAGAAAAACGCAAAAAACTAACAAAAAGTTGCAAAAAATGAACATTTATCGCTGTATGTCACTAAAATCGACCACATTTATAGCCTGAAGTATGGTGCTGCTGAATATATTACTTCTGAGCTTGTTCGGTTGTTAGTTTTCTTTTTTTCTGGCGCTCTTTGTTTTACCTAGAGCTGTAGTAAAGCTGTTGTCATGGCGTCTTTTTTGGCGTCCTTCACTGGGTCTTCGACTATGGTTTCCTTCTTTTGACAGCAATGCCATAGCATGCCTGGGCCCAAAATTGAATTATGCTATCGCAGAAACAGCAGTATATTTTGCATGGTCTCATGTCTAAAGCCAATTATGATAAGACGATGTCTTTGTTTATTGTGAAAGGCCTTGTTCTGGATTCTTTTGCAGTTGTATACTTACGGTTTACAACATTTTTATTACTGCCACACCATGCTTGAAGCAAACCCTTTACACTTTTTTCATCAATAGTAGCCACTACATCACAGTGTGCGAGGAAATGTATTGATAACATGAAGAAGCAAATCACATTCGACAATAATTCTGCATGGCTGTGGTTTACAATTAGCACTACCAGTACTAGATGTAACAGTGCTTTCCTTTGTCTGTAAAAACTGTGTCTTACATTGGCGCAGTTTCTAAGTAAATGTGCATATTACATCTGCACCAGTGCTTGTCTGAATAGTGCTAGATTGAGTAGAGGTAGCTGCAATCAGTTGCATTCGGACGTGCCCTAGCTTTAGTAAATTAGTTCGATGTGTGTATCTATTTTTAGCGAGTGTTTTGTTCTACGCATTATCGAAAGAGAAACAAATTAAATCGTCTCACTGCTTATGATAATTCACACAAACTAATCTAAACTGTTAATAGTATATTTAATTGAAATAATTATATGTTAAAATAATGTAAGTATTTTACAGAAGCTTAGAGAAACAAAACTAGATCAAACTTAGCAACGCGCTGAAACTAAGGGAATGTTTACTTCCGAAGCGAAACGACCAATCGCTAACTAGCTTCCGCCGTCGTATGCCAATGAAAAATTTGAGGTAAAAAATTTGCATACCGGAAAAACCCGAATGAGTAAAATAAACAACTTTATGACGTAGAAAAATAATCACATTAAAATAGGTATTTTGATTGGTCATTTAATTTTAGAACAAATAAAGAAAGGAGGTCACGGCCTTTCCATTGATATGAAACACATTAGGTTTCCGCGAAGCCTAATAGTACTTATCTAGGTCAAAAAATTGTTATTTTTACCAAAAAATTAAACAAAAGACCCTGTACACACTACATTGAACCCGGTTTTTCATAATTAAATACTGTTTTTAGGGTCATAACAATGTCATTTTTAGATTCAACGATGGTTATTCTGTGTAGATCAAGTAAAAGTGGGAAATCGATGATTTAGTATATTTATGACGAAAAGTACACCCGCCCATGCCCTTAAATAACTAAAATTAAACAAAAAATATTGACTAGCAATAAATATTTTTAGTTCGTTTGATATAATTTCTTTGTTACTTTTGAAATAAATTAAAGTGAAAAAATTTTTTTTCTAGATCATTGACTGTGGGAGACCCCAAAGATGCTAATACATTTTGTGGAGCACTGATCAGCAAAGAGCACCAGGCAAAAGTTACAAAGTACATTGAGGAAGCCAGGGCCTCTGGGGCAGTGATTGAATGTGGCCATGGGGTGGAACCTCTGGACCTGCCTGAAAGATGCAAGGATGTAGGAACATTTTTTTAGGAAAAATTTTACTTCACTTCTCTCGAAAGATTTTTATTTCACTTCTCTTTGAAGGTCTATACTTCACTTCTACAGGAGGCTTTGTTCTTCCATTTTCTAGGAAGATTTTTACTTCACCTCTCTAGGAAGATTTTTACTTCACCTCTTGGAAGCATTGTGGTTCACTTCTCTAGTATTAGAAATCTTTACACTACTTAATTACTGACATATAGTTTATTTAAACTTAATGAATTTATTTGAAACTTGTCAGGGTTACTTTGTGCGTCCAACTGTGATTACTGGTTTACCTGACAGCGCACCTGCAATGACAGAGGAGATTTTTGGTCCAGTTACCTGTGTTGTTCCATTTGATGAGGAGCAGGAGGTATTTCTGTTTGTGTGTATGTTGTGGGAGCAGGAGGTATTTCTGTTTGTGTATGTTGTGAGAGCAGGAGGTATTTCTGTTTGTGTGTATGTTGTGGGAGCAGGAGGTATATCTATGTTGTGGGAGCAGGAAGTATTTCTGTTTGTGTATGTTGTGGGAGCAGGAGGTATTTCTGTCTGTGTGTATGTTGTGGGATCAGGAGGTATTTCTGTTTGTGTGTATGTTGTGGGAGCAGGAGGTATTTCTGTTTGTGTGTATGTTGTGGGAGCAGGAGGTATTTCTATTTGTGTGTATGTTGTGGGAGCAGGAGGTATTTCTATTTGGGTGTATGTTGTGGGAGCAGGAGGTATATCTATGTTGTGGGAGCAGGAGGTATTTCTGTTTGTGTATGTTGTGGGAGCAGGAGGTATTTCTGTTTGTGTATACTGTGGGAGCAGGAGGTATTTCTGTTTGTGTATGTTGTGGGAGCAGGAGGTATTTCTGTTTGTGTATGTTGTGAGAGCAGGAGGTATGGCTATGTTGTGGGAGCAGGAGGTATCTCTATTTGTATATTGTGGGAGCAGAAGGTATCTCTAATTGGGTGTATGTTGTTGGAGCAGGAGGTATATCTATTTGGGTATATCCTTTGGGAGCAGTAGGTAATTCTGTTATGGTTTACATTGTGATTTGTTAGAACAGGAGAAATTTCTATTAGGGTTTACATTGTTGGAGCAGGAGTTATTTCCCATTTTAATAATTACATTGATTTAGTGTGGAAAAAATAAGGTGAGATCTGAATTCTAAACAATACTTAAATATCATCACAGAGGTATTGGGAACCATGAACACTTTGGTGTTAAAATGTTTGACACACACATGAACTCGCAATTTTTATAACATAGAGCACTTTAACATGATCCAATCAAGTTTAAAAAATGTTTACAACCCACAATGCAATTCTCAGAGATGGGTAGCTATCAAATTTGAGTAAAATGCTATGGAGTTCTGAAATATCAATTAATTTAAGATTGTGAAGTTCATTGATATTATCCTTTATTTATATTAACTTGATAATTTGGAGCTCTTTAAAGTCAATGCATGGAAAAGATAAATCATCTTTAAACATGTTGTTGCAGGTGATCACAAGAGCCAATGCTGTACGCTATGGTCTCAGTGCCACAGTGTGGACTGAAAATGTCTCCAGAGTTCAGAGAATTTCTCCTAAAATTGACGTAAGTGTTCCGGTTTGAGACCCATTCTCTTATTATAATTCCTCTTTTACAGTGCGTCTCATAACTCCTTAGTCAACCATTTTTTAAATAGGCTGTTTTATAAAATTGTCAGAACTGTATAACTTTTTTCTAACTTTAAAGTAAACAAATTTCATTAATAGTTTCTCTTTAATATTTGTGTTTTATTTTATTTTAATTATAACTTCCTTTTTTATTTGTTCAAAATATATAATTTCCCATGAAATAATATTGATTGTTACTGATTACAAATAATAATAATTTGTACTAATCATAGCTATTTATCTCCCTTTAATTTGTCCTGAATCTTGATGTGATCATCCCTTTACTTTGTTCTAATCCAAGATTTCTCACTCCAGGCAGGGACAGTCTGGGTCAACTGCTGGCTTGTTCGTGACCTAAACATGCCATTTGGAGGCATGAAAGACTCTGGGACTGGCAGAGAAGGTGGGAAATATTCAACCGAATTCTTCACTGAGGAGAAAACTATCTGTATCCAGCATTGAAATAAGCAGGATGAAGAAATTATTTACAATTTCGTGTGCCTTACAGCGATAATTTTATTTGACGTCAGAATATTTTTAATATTAAATGACTTTTATTTCAAGTATTACAGAAACTTTATCCCTCTGTGTATAATTCTTACTATATACAAGATGCAATGTTTCACTAGTGTTCACTAAAGCCACAATGTCCATTTCTAGTTGGTTGGGGGCAGTTTTGTGGAGTGATTGTTTTCTAAACTTATTCTTGAAATTATAATTTAAATATCATCATGTGCTCTCTAAAACAGTGGAGAAAACTATGTAGTAGTCCACATTTGATCAGTTTGGTGGGCTGCAGTTCACTAATCTTAGATCCGAAATTGATGGTAAAAAATGCATTTAAAAACTCTTATTTTAAAATTTACTTCACATATTGTGTCTCATTACTTGTAGATCTGGGCTGAGTGATTGTTTGACTGAGCTGGAGCTTGCAGACAGGTTGTTCAGTTAAGGATGCATTTTTAATGGGCAGCTGTGGTAAACTAGTCAATTATTCAGAGACTAATTACAATGTCATTGATGCCATAATTCCTCTTTCTAAGTGCCTTATTAGCCTTCATCACATGTCAAGATTTATCAGCTTAAAAAACGTGGGATGAACCCACACATACAGATTTTCAAAAATGCAACAATGAGATGTTTTATATTTTAAAAAACTAATGTGCCTGGGGCAGAAATCTATAAACACTATGGGTGGATCACACCCACAACAGATGAACTAATGTGCCTAGGGCAGAAATCTAAAACACAATGGGTGGATCACACCCACAACAGATGAACTAATGTGCCTAGGGCAGAAATCTAAAACACAATGGGTGGATCACACCCACAACAGATGATAAAGGTTAATGTATATTCTTTTGTTGTTTATTGAACTTGTTTTGATTATCACTTGTATTAATCCCCTTATAAATCAAAGTGTTCTGGGTAACAAACACTTGGTATGTTTAGAAAACAGGGGCTTATCAATTTATAAGAAATGAAGCTGTTTCCTATAAATTAAATAATAACAGTAATGAAAAGCAAAAACATTTAATGTTAAAAACTACTTGTTTCCTGAATTATTCATTTTAATTTTTTAATCAGTTTATATCTCTATTGTTAAAATAGCTACTTATATTTTTAAAAATACTTTTAATGTAACTTGATTCTTTTTGTTTGTTAAGAATGTAATGTTATAACTATTCAATGAAACCACCACAGTAGGTCTGTTAAACCTTCTTCTCCCTTAGACTAATGTAGTGTTGCAATAAGTGGCAACTCAGATGTCTGAATCTGTTATTGGTGTTGGTTATGTTTCAATGTAAGGGAGACAGAAGAAGACTGACTGTTTGCTACAATACTGTATGGCCTACAAGTCTTGTGGTATACATGAAGTGGATATGTTAGACACGGGTGCAATCAATAAATCATTATTACTAACAAATTTGAGCATTAAAATATATACAAATAAAGAAAATATGATAAGAAAATGTAACTTCTATTTGTTTTTTAAGTCGTTAAATGTAAAGTGGCAATCATGTGTATGCTTACAAGATGGAAACGTTTTTTTCTTCATTCATGGTGAACAAACATATTGTTGAATTTTTCTTCAAATTTTGTTTTCCTACCAAGATTTTGATACAATTGAAATCAAAACAAAAGCGAATTGTGAACATTTTTTTTTGTAAATGGCATAAAAAAATCAATTCACATTGTCTGGACTTGAATGCTGATGAAACATACTTTACTGTTAGGTTAGCAACTAAAAACATCTTGGACCAGACTTAATAAACCTTTAGCTGTGAAATTAAATTTCTATGAGCTTTCAATTAATCTAGATTTTTAAATTGTCATTTTCTAACTGTGCAAATTTGTTATCCTAGCCCAGAGTTATCTCCCATGATCGTACCTCCGACTTTTGTTCACTAAATTTATTCCTGACGATTGATT